AGCAAAAGCACAAGCCTTGAGAAATCAGCATGCCAATCTTCCAATTCTTATAACTGCTGAACAGTTGGCAGGACAAGGAGATTGGCTGCAGTTAGAAAAACAAGTTGGGTACGAGGTCACAGCAGTAACACAGGTACGTGTGTGTTGTCTGAAAGCTTGGGAAAAGATACAAGCGGCTGGAAAGCCCGCCTTACCATTCAGTAAACTTAAACAGGGACCTAATGAACCATATCGACTTTGTTGCGATTGCAAGATAATTTGAGGACAGTAGCACATACAGATTTAAGGGAAATGTTGTTGCAAATGCTAGCTTATGATAATGCAAATACAGAGTGCTGAAGAGTTCTTAGACCTTTAAAAGCTGAGAGAGCTAGAATGGAAGATTATATCGAGGCTTGTGCTGATGTAGGTTCCCCTACATACCAAACTAATTTATTACTAGCAACTACTATGAGGGGAAAGTCAAAGGGAAATTCAAAAAATTTTAAATGTTTTGGTTGTGGCAAAGGGCATATGAAAAAGGACTGCAGATCACAAAAGAGAACAAGAGTCAAATTTTAAAAATAAACCGGTTTGCCCAAAATGTCAAAAACAGAGACATTGGTCTGTCGTTCAAAATTTGATAAAGATGGTAATCCTATCAATGAGTCTCAGCCTTTAAACCTCCAACCGGGCCAGCTTCTGAAGCCCTAGAAAATTATAGAGGCATCTTCAGTTAAAAGAACGTGGCATGATTTACAAGCAGCTAAGGAAGCGCTGCTGTAGATCTTGCCTCTTCTCCACCTGTATATTTACATCCATCACAAGGGGTCCAGTTACTTAGTACAGGAATTTTTGGCCCTTTACCAGCCAATTCCATAGGATTACTTTTAGGCCACAGTAGTTGGACACTAAAAGGATTAATAGTAAGACCTGCAGTTATTGATCAGGACTATATGGGTGAGATTAAAATAATGGTATCATCTGACAAAGAATTATATATACCTCAAGGAGAAAGAATTGCTCAATTACTTTTACTTCCCTATCTCCCACCTTCAACACCACCTTATGAAAGAGGACAAGGTGGATTCCGAAGTACAAATAAACAAATATGGCTTAACACAACAATTACATCTGACAGACCTCAGTGTAAAATTTCTATTCAAGGCAAATCCTTTACAGGATTGCTCTGTCAATATGACAGCTGGTTAGAATGGATATTTTTGCAGTATCAGACTAAACCCTTGTGGCAACCTTACACTGACAAAGTAGCCTCTATCATCCTTAAAGGACGACAGAGACTAAGACAGATGACTGGCCAAGATCCCCACTCCATTGTTCTTCCATTATCCAAACAAAATATTATACAAGTATTTCAAGAAAATACTCATTGGCAAATTGCACTTTATGATTATTTAGGAAATACTGACTGCCACTACCCTAAGAATAAATTATTTTCCTTTTTTCAGCGCCATCAATGGATCCTTCCTCAAAAAACTTCTCCTAACCCATTATTAGATGCTGTTATCTGTTTTAGACGGTACAAAATCTTTTAAAGCAGCCTATACAACTTTTCGTTTATCAAAAATTTTTCACTTTTCACTTCCGCACAACAAAATGAGTTATATGCTGTGCTGCAAGCCCTGCAAGATTTTCCATGTCCTCTTAATATTGTTACTGACTCTGCTTATGCTGCCTTTTCCGTTCCTTTATTAGAAACTGCGACATTGGGCACTGTACAATCTCCTATTAACATTTTATTTTCCCAACTACAGGTGTGTATTCGTCAGCATCTACACCCTTTCTTCATTACTCGTATTCAATCATTCTAATTTACCAGGTCCTTTATCATACTATGATAAAGCAAACTTGTTTCTTTAGCTGATTACTCACCAGCTCAACGCTATCGTGACGACTCATGCTCCCTCCTTTACAAAAGCATTTTTCTCTTTCTGCCTCTGAAGCTCAAAATACCCGGAATTCCTGTCCAACCTATTCTCAAATTCTCATTTACAAACTGGAACCGTTCCCAGGGGAACACGCCCTTACACCCTATGGATGTTACTATTGTTCCTGAATTTGGAACTCAAGTGTTCATGTTCATGTTTCCATAGCTACTTATTCATGGGCTACTGCTTTAACAGGAGAACGATATCATGTTACCACTCACCTTTCACAAGCATTTGCAGTACTAGGTGTTCCAGCCATCATAAAAACTGACAATGCTCCAGTTTATCTTTCCTTAACATTAAAAAAGTTTTTCAGCTATATAATAAACTCATAAAACAGGTATTCTTTACAATTCCACAGGTCAAGCCCTAATTGAATGTCATCTTACTCTTAAACATTACTTATTAAAACAAAATGGGGGATTGCTCCCTGATATAAAATTAACTGCAAATGAACGATTAATGCATGCTTCACATATTCTCAATTTTGATCTTTTAAAGAGTGATGGACGATCAGCTATGGAAATACATTTGTCTGACAATATTTCCTTTTCCAAAACAGCAGTTCCTGTATGTTGGTCTCCTATAGGTTCTTCACAATGGTATTAAGGTCATATTAAGGTGTGGGGCAAAGGGTTTGTTTGTGTCATTAGAGGATCAACGCCCGATTTGTCTACCCAGAAAAAGAATTGATACGATAACAACTCCCAACATCAACATCCTCCGGAAGAGCTGCTCCAGAGGATGGCCACCAACTTCACTGCCAGAGTGAAGCTTCCTGGATAGTGAAGTTGCTACTTTTGTTCTTGGTGGTGGTATTTATACGTACACACACTACACAAGCTTGCGTTATTACAGCTAGTGTGAGCAGTCCACCATATTTAGGCTGAGTAGTCCAGTGGGTATCCACCTGTTCTACTCCTGTAGGTCCTGTAGTATGGAAAAAGAATGGTGAGGAAATACATAGACAAACATCTGGAGGAAGACTTGGATGGCATAATGCTACTCATCTAAAAAAGCAAATAATTGATATGACATTTATAAAAATTTTGACTTGATATTGGAAATTATACCTGTGAAAAATTTCAAAGGATCTCCTGATATATTATACAAAAGTAGTTATGTGTATATAAATACATCACTTGTTCCAGAACATAAGTTTTCCTCACCTAACCTGTGGCTGTAACTTGCAAACCAAGGATTAAATAAATCATTTTTGTGTAGCAGTACATTCTTCCATTAGTGATTAACAAATTTAATAGGAATAGGACTTCCTCCCCCAGTGTTTACCAATATCAGGTATAAATATTACCCATTCTCCTAGAATTCTTATGCGTTATATTTAATTAAATATACCTGTCAGTACTACTATAATTTCTGATTGTATATGTATTAATTGTACTCATATACCTTCTTATTGTTAACTCCACTATTCGTGTAAAATGGCCATATGGATATAGACTCCTAAATGGCTGGGTGTTTCTGTGATAACAAAACCTATCAAGCCTTTTCTTCACATTACCAAGATGTTTGTAGCGTAGGACGGATTCTTCCTGGGCTCATAGATCATCCTGGATATGCGCATAGGAGATCCCCTTGAGCCCTACCGGCTGACTGTGATGACAACTTGAAGTTGTTAAATCCTGCTGCTGTTGTAGTTGCTGCTGCATTCCTTCTGCCAGTCCCCGGACTTGCTACTGGGATGCAAAATGAAATATCTAAGTTGGCCTGCGCGTATAGTAAGACTACAAACTTGGCTGCTTCTATACTATCTGAACTCAACCAGTAACTGCAACCAGGAACAAGTTGCAGTACTTCAAAATCACGCTACTACAGATTACCTATTGTTAAAAGAACATATGGGATGTGAACAGTTTCCAGGAATGTGTTTTGTCTTATTTTTCTCAAACTATCCAAAATCAATTAGATAATATGCATCATGTTATTTATAAGTTTTCACAAATGCCTGGATTATCAAATTGGTTCTCTTGGTTTCATTGGATATGGCCAATACTTACGGTGTGCTTCTATTATGTATTTGTCCTCCTGTTCTGGTAATGTGGGTATGTCATGTCATCACGAGCTTATTAAAGCCAGTACATGCTTATGCTACTTTTTAAGAAGTAACATCTAAGAAGTGATCTCTGTCTACATTACCCCCCATGAAAGCTCGTGCAGTGAATCAGTGTATTTTGTGATCATGGCTGGACATAGGAGTATGAGAAAAAGCTTTGACCTACTTCAAATGCCTCTTTTGCTGCATGTTACCTCCCTGTATGGCCCTGGAGGAAGGCTGGTTAGCCAGAGATGAGTAAGATTCCTCATGGAAAGAACAACCTAAGACAGGCACAGTCGCAGGGGGCTAACTGAGGTGAGGCTTAGAACCTTGTCCCCCCATTTGTGAGGCATTGCCTGCTGCCCTTGCCCACCTCAGGTCAAAACTGTCTATAGGCATAGACCTGATCACCTGCAGTTACCTTCTATTGGCACTAAATCTACTTTCTGTCTTTATTTAAGTAGCAGACTTTTATTTCATACTGCGGAATTTGGAGAAGTAAACTACGTTAAAAGCCTCCTGTTAGAAACTATCTGCTTGCTATATTCTGTATTATATCTAGTACTTAAAAGGGGGAAATGTGGGACTAATGGGATTAATACATAAATTAAGTAATATGGAAATCAAATGTACAAATGCGTTTGACCTGATTGTTTCTACAACTCTTGATGCATGATCGGTAACAGAAAGAGTAAAGGCCAAACAGTTCCTACAACCCGTGACCGCCCTCACGTGGTTTCAGTGTCACGTGGTTTCAGTGTCCTTGAGTGTCATGCCCCAGGGCTGGACTCAAGGTCAGATAATGGTTGTGTGTTGATCATGTGTTGAACCCCCTACTCAAAATTCTTTGGATGTTTGGGTTCATTTGCTCAATAAATATGAGGAGTGCCTTTTTGGCATGACTCTTGCGCTGTTACGCCTTGAGTTTTTTGGCTGGTCCTTTCTGGTCTTCGATATCTCATTGCTGTCTCCTATCTGCGGGTAGAGGCAGGGAGGGACCGACAACAAGTCACAAGGAGTTTTGTAAGCAACTATATTTACAGCCACAATTCCATAGATGTGGTGAGTAAACCAATGGCCATTCCTTAATAAAATACAATGTTCATCATGCATAGTTTAGACTCCCGAAGAGGTGGTCTCTTAAGAGGCTGGATGTTCAAGAAAGATTCGACAGTCAAAAATCTTGGCAAGTCAATACACAAATGCTTGGTTTGGTTACTAAGCCACCTTAATAATACAACATATTTATACTGTACCTGCAAGCAGAATAATCACTGCCTGAGAAATGCAAGCCTACCAAATTCATTAGTAATAACCATTACCCTCTCCCCCTCGTAGCCGGAAGGACCATTATTCTTGGATTTCATGTGTTGTATTTTCTTCCAAGGCAAACCATTATAGCATTGTATTGTATTACAGGAATCAAGTGTATAAATAAAAAAAACCAAACAAACCCAGAAAACCCAAAGAACAAAAAAGCCCCCCACGCCCCCCTCAAAATAAACAATGAAAAAAACCTGTTAAGAACCACTTCCATTTCTCATCTGAAATATAATAATCAGATCAATGAAACTATACATTTTCCACTTCCAAGTATTGTTGCTTATGAGCTACAACTTTACCTCCAACTATTTTAATCATTATGATTTGAGATTTTCCAGGATGCAACAGCTGTTACTACCTAGGCAAGGAAGAACAAAAAGTCACTAGCAAGCACATGAATTGGGCCATAGCTATGATAGTTAAAAGAATCTTTAGACAAACCATTTAGAGGAGGTTAAATAAAAAACATGTTTGAGTTGCATCATTCCTACCGTGGACTGTAGAGTTAAAAAAATTCTTGGTAAAATAACATGGAAGACAGACCTATATATATATACACTGCAAATACAGCCAAGCATTTTTATGTACAGAAGCCCAAATACCTTAGGTTTAGATTGCTGATGAAGATAATCAGAGTCAATTCTTCAAGGAAGGTTTTCTTAAAAAGGTATTAAAAACAAGCCTATAGTCTTCAGGTACATTCCACCTAGGTAACTGTTGAGGAACTCTCAGAGAAAGAAACATGAACTGCAACTGTCCACACTTAATTTCTATTCTTTAATAATGTTTTAAAGTACCTTAGACTTTGATCCCAGTTTCCATTTAGGAAAGGAAATTATACTAAGCATGAGATTAGAGATTTGCTTGTTTTTCTGAAGCCACGTGAAAGTTTATGTCCCTTTGTCTATTACTTTTCATTACTGAAATCTTCTCTGGAGACCAGTAGAATAAAAACTTCACAGCTACACGACGGATCGCTTCTTTTCAAGTTGCATACAACTTTAATGTGGCTTATGAGGTCCAACCAACCCAGCCCTTAATTTCACCTTAGTAGACTCGATAATGAAAAACTAAGGAAAGGTAAACCTAAATTTCCAGTAAGATACAAACAAAAAAATCTGTACACACAACAAAATATGTCCTAATCACAAAGTAAAGGTATAATATACTGCACAGCATGACATTGTTTTTATCGTATTTCTCAGCTGTAGCTCTTCCATTCAGAAATTAAAGACCATCTTTCATTAAGTTATTATTTCCTCCTTTCCCCAGTTTGGGATAATTTAAAAAAAGGTTTGCTTTGTACAAGTTGTTATGAAATTAAGTTTCATTCACACACAATTTAAGTGTTTATAAAGCACTCAAAATTGTAGCTTGTATGTGTATGAATTCTGAAATGATACTTTTAACAATCTTCTTGTTCTGAAAAAATATTCTACATACATACCTATGATCAAAACAATCTTTTCTTGTTTGGAAAATTTCCTATGCACTGTTAAGTTAAAAAAAAAAGTTAACAATTCTATCAATACTTCCAATGTTGAGACAACTGGGCCCTAACCTAGTGTTTGATTTCTGCAACTACTAACCTTAATAATGCAAAACTGCTACTAAAACCAAGGTTCTAAAAACTGCATTTGGAAATGTTTTTTTTTATATGTTTACAGTGGCAAAATAAAGTCATGAAAAGAATACGATATCAAAATAAGTATAAAAATAGCCACATGCTACTTAAAATATGAAAAACACCCAGTCAATTTTTACTTCAAATGCAGACCTGTGCCTCCCTTAAGTTTACCAAAATCTCAAGGGAACATCTAGGTAACTGGGAAATATAGAAAGCCACTGTACAGTCAATAGGCTATCAAAACTAGGGCTTAATCATAACCCATAATGAATGTAGAGGAAATGGTTTATTCAAAACATCCATTAACTTACAAGTGGTCTTTCATCCATAACCTCCATTACATCAAAAGGACAAAGTGGGCTTAACATTTCACTTAAGAGGGTTCAGCATTACTGGTTTTTGAAGAAATACCTTAGGAACAAATCATCCTGCTGTAACAAATTGCACTGAAGCTAATGAAATTTTAATCTTCTTATCAGGTCATAGCCAAAATCCAAATTGTTGAACAATCCTCAGAGAAATTGGAATGTAGAATGTTGAGTTCAATTTAGATCTGGAAGGGAAAAGAACATTCAGATCAAACAAAAGAAGTCCTGTATCTGTGGCAGCAGTCCACCACACCGAAGGGGGACTTGCATCCCCTTAAGCTATCTGGAAACCAATCCAGTTTTAAGAGGAAATTCTGCACACCAGGTTTTCCTCAATTCTGATCTGCTGCCAGTAAATCTTTACAATCCCCTTCATGTCATATGTTATGCAGAATATTCTATTTTTTTTTAAATTAAGGTATCATTGATATACCATCTTATAAAGGTTTCACATGAACATTGTGGTTTCAAGATTTACCCGTATTACTAGTACTCTAATTAAGAGAAGGCATGCTTCTTTAAGCTCGAATTTCTCACAATTGCCTGCTACATTTCTTAACAGCTATCTTTTTAGACACTCTTAAGTTTCTCTGTGGATAATTCACATACACAAAGATGAAAAATACAAGGTATATCTACTTACATCATCAATGTCTTCATCATCATCTCCAATGTCATCAAACTGGATTTCATCATCATCTCCAGGACCAAATGTGTCAGTTTCATTAATCTTAGCTAAAGAAATAACAAATATACTGATATTAATTATATAACCAAGATGTTATTGAAATTACTGCCCATTAAAAGAAGTGATCTCCTATCAAATGTTGAACTATAAGGAGACTCTTCTAAGTCAAACTTGTAACTTCAGTAAGATTCTCCTAAGTTCTACCCAAATAGAACAGTATGTCATACAAAAAAGTCTCAAAGTTACTGCTAAGTCAAGATGGAAGGTATCTGTGCTATAACTTTCTTTCATTTGCAAAGGTAATTTTAGTAAGGCAAGCTCTAATTATGCAAATTTTAAAGCTATTACAACTTCCAGAGATGCTTCAAAAAAGGTTTGAGCACATGCTAACAACAACTCACCAATCATCAGGTAAGACTCATTAATCAGAATGATTGGGTCAAATCATGATTGTCCCTAAGCAATAAGAAATGGAAGGAATTGCTGGCCCTATTCCCAGATATACTGGCATTTCCTACATTAGATATGCCAAGTAATTGCAGCAGGATTTTCATGCTTAAAATTATAGTGTTTACATAACAAGCAACACAGCCAAAAAATTCAAAAAATTGCCAAGTGAAAAATGCAAGCTTAGAAAATAGTATGTAAAGTGTATTTCCCCTTTGATGAGGTTATGGAGGGACTTAAACTTTTGTTTCATTGAAGTTTTCTACATTAAGAATGTGTAACACTTTTACATGGGAAGGATAACAAAGAATGTTGGTTTAGAAAATCCTACTCAATACTATGATACCAGGATGAGATGAACTGAAATCTGACTTTTTTATAAAAATCAACAACAGTACCTAATTAGTGTCCTTGCTTCACATTTTAAGTAGAGGAACATTGACAGTCTCTTGAGAAAGGAATTTTAAAATAAATACTGTAACAAACCTATTCATTTGACTGGTATGATGCAGAATTCCAGGGGTTATGAAGTATAACTCCTCACTAAAAATATATTTATTAGGAATAGAATCCCAGTTACGTTTTTTCTTAAACTATCTGAAGTATAGGCAGGCACACCTTGGAGATACTGTGAGGTCAGTTTCAGACCACGAGAAAAAAAAGCAAATATTGCAATAAAGCAAGTCAAACTAGTGTTTTGGATTTCCAGTACATACACAAGTTATGTTCACACTAGTTTATTAATTGTGCAACAGCAAAATGACTAAAAAATCAATGTGCATACCTTAATTTTAAAAATTGCTAAAAATGCTGTCATCTGAGCTTTCAGTGAGCCGTAATCACTGATCACGTATCACCATGACAAATAATGAAAAAGTTTGAAATATTGTGAGAGTTACCAAAATATGAAGAGATATGAAGCAAGCAAATGCTGCTAGAAAAACAGCACCAATAGACTTGCTCCACACAGGGCTGCCACAAACCTTCAATTTGTAAAACAAAACAAAACAACAAAACACAGTGTTCCCAAAGCCCAATAAAGCGAAGCCCAACATGAGGTTGATAGTAACTCAGACATTACCATGCTCTGGAAGCTCGCCATATGCCTTCAGACTTCTAGCTTCATCTGCATTGTATTTTAAAATTACATCAGCTTTATTATCCTTAAAAAGAGACAAATAACTTTCAGAATTAAGTATGCCAAAATACTATGTTATTTCATAAATTACTTACAAACTGGCTAAAAATTAAATCTTACAGTTCTTTTATAAAGTCCTCTTTTTTTGTTTTCTCCTACCCTCTCTGAAAAACATCCTCGGGTTTAAAACAGTGTAAAGAACTAGCATTCAACAAGCTTAGGGAAGGTACTGAGACATCTCACTTTCAACAAGAGAATAGTGTAGACCCAATCTTTTAGATTCTTTACCGTTACTCTTTGATTAGAAATCTTTCGAACTACAAAAATTCCCCGGGACAATTTATATATAGGGTGATTAAACACTCTGTTCAAAAACTGAACCTGGTATAAATGACCTAAGGAAATGAACATGCCTTTCCAGGTAGCAGCAGTTCTCAGGGCACCAATAGACCAGAACTTCCTGTGGAGCTTTTATACCTCTTGAACACAGACTAGGAGATGTGCAGTGAAGCTCATGAATTTGTTATTTTAAAAGACCTTTGGGTGCTTCTGATGCCAATGTCCCACCAAAAACTACTGCCTTAAGACACTCACTTTTCCATCTGAAAAGAATTTGCCTCAGTTAAGGAAGAAAAAAGGATTGAAGCTCTTTGTTTCAATTTCGAAAAGTTCTTTGTACCTGCTGTCAAAACCTTTGTTTCCTCACCTGTCAAACAGGGTCTAGTTATTCTTCCTATTTCTGGGGTTATTTTTAAGATCAAAAGAAGAAAATGGACATTAAGATAGTGTGAATTCAAAGCGGGCTTTCTCAACCTTGAGCCAGATCATCCTTTGCTGCAGGGGCTGCCCTGTGGTCTGTATGATGCTCAGCATCACCCCTGGCCTCCATCAATGCCAGCAGCTCTGCACTGTCCACCGGCTGTATGTAACAACCAGAAATGTCCCCAGAGGAAAAGACACACCCATGGCTGAGAACCACTGATTTCAATTCTTTATTCTGGACTATGTATTATAAAAAAATAAAAATACAACTAAGGTTATAAAAATATTCTCTCTCACAGTATAATTAAACATATGGTGGAGTCCCAACATGTGGACACCAAATGGATTTCAGATTTACAATCAGTAGAGTCTTCAGGTTGAGACTGTGATGGACAACTATCATTTTCTTCCCAAAATGCTCATCTAAATTTAGCACACATACTTCTATCATGGTTTGTACTCTAATCACTTAGGTGCCTGCTTTACTGTCTCCACTACCGGGCCATAGCATTTTGCAAGAGGGAAGCTTGATTAAAGCAGTTGCATTCCCCTAGAGGAAGAGTTTCCAGATTCTGATTTCAAGACATATGAAATGAACAAATAATTAATTAAATAAATTGGGGCAGGAGGTCCAACCTAGGATTACAGTTTTTATTTTGGCAACTGAGAACACTAACAAAACCACCACTATAAAATATCACTCATTCCAAAAAAGGGAACTTTTTAAATATCAAAAAAGGAAAAAGGGCCATTTAGTTTCATGAAAAATTCATTGCCTGTATTTCTTCTATAGCAAAAATGTGGACCCCACAGATTGGCATTTGGGAACTATAATCCCTGGGGTACCTGGCACAATGCCTTAAGACCTAACTGGCCCATGAGAAACATTTGCCAATACAATGGTGAGCAGCAAACAGGGCTGGAGTGGTCAAATATAGTTACAACTTAGGTTCTAAGAATCAAGAGCTCATCAAATTTAAGCAAATGAACAATAAAATTTTAATTATTTTACCTGGTAGTCTCGTAGACCAACCAAAATAATATCTGAGGTATTTATCCAAACCTACAAGAGAAAAGTCACTGCATGTTTTATTTAAAACACAGAATCAAGAGCAATGCTGAGTCAGTCTTCCCATAAAATAAACACACTATTTACCTAACCATGGGTGAAGTACCTACATTTAGAAGAAAAAAATACTATACTAAGCAGCTGAGTCTGTCTGTTTCAAGTAGTCTCTGTAATTTGTGATGTTAAAAACAAAAACTACATTATTTAACTACTTGACGGCTTAATAACTCGAGGAATGATTTGTTTAGAAATTAAAGAATTTTTAATAATGAATTATTCCAATTGGTTAGTTATCCATCCACTACATATGAGAATAGAAGAAAAGAAACGTGGTTTTATTTCCCTCCTCTCTCTCTCTTCCTTCTACCTGCACACCCACATACACAACCTGTTAGCAGACTCCCCCGGGAAACATATGAATTACCAAAGCAAAAAAAGTATTTTTAATCATAAAATCGGAGTTGGAGGGACTTTTAACTAACCTGATTAATAAATCTTCCGGAATACCTACTGTGATGGAAAAATAATCATTTTCCCAGGCAGCCCACTCATGATCACGATTCAGGAAATTTAACAACACAACACTTATTTAACAGAATTCATATTCAAATTTTCTTAATACCCTTTTACATCTATTGCTCCCACCCTTAAACCAGAGTCCAAACAAGAACCACCCATTATATGTAACCATTAGGTCTCCTTTTTTTCCTCTCACACTACCATTGTACTGAGCCAGGCCACTTGTTTTGCAGAGTGTCCCTGAGTTTGATTTGATATCCTCATGAGTAGATTTAGGTTAAATATTTTTGGAAGGAATGTAACATAGGTGATGCAAATGAACCTTTAAATAGAATCTATAAAATTACCATCAAGGATCCTGCTGTTTTGACTCAGATTAGGTAAATAAATCACTGTTCTACTGAAATCTTTGGGGAACTTACAAAAATGAGGTTCTTGGTCCGTAGAAACCACAGAGCCATTTTTCCCCCTTAATCACAATTTTATATTAAAGTTAAACAAATCTCCATACCAACCTTTTTTCTCAATTTCCCTCTAATGTGGCATAACCTCTTCACACCATCAAAACACATTGCTTCTAATCGTCCATTTCCCAACATTTTGATTACTTGTGCATACTCTGGAAAGGGAAAAGAAAAGGGTATGGGATATTGATCAAGTGTTCATAAAAACAACCTTAAAGTTCATATAAACTGACTACAACACAACTGGTGTTATCAGTTGGGAATAAATATAATCAGTAAAATAGGTACAAGGGAGTGATAAACACAGACCTAGTTCATGGCAGAGCCAGAACCAAGACTCTAAATACCACTTCTATGACAAGTTGTCTCTGCTATCAGTGATGTTTTTGTTACCTATTCATTTTGAGTAAGTACATAGACTACTAGCTTTATGACTGTATGTTCTACTTTTGGAGATCAAGGCGGCTTGTTCCAAAATGTGCACTACATGTCGGATCCTTGGCCGGTTTTGGCTCTGCTTTACCTAAGGAACTTTCAAGGCTAATCTCAACATAATTTTTGCTACACCTCACAAAGAAAAGCAGATTAAATGTTAATAATGTCTTTGTTAAATTAGAGTATCTTAGTGATTTTTCTCAATTTTTTGTGAAGCCAGAAAGATGTTCTCAAGCAAAATGCCAAACTTCTCATCAAAACCTTCCCAAGGGAACCCAGGAAGTCACCAGGTCTCACTGCCACTTGAAAAGCAAAGAGGGCAAGTAGGAGCTTAGCTTGCACAGGGGCCTATCTCTTCTGTTGTTACCAGAGGAGGGGTGCATCACTTCAGAACCTTCAGCTTACTCAAGTTGTACGTAAGACTGACCCCCTTAAGAGGATATCCACTAATTTGTAAATACACTGGGACATAACTCTGAAAGGCTCAACTGTGGGACTGACACATGGAAGGAGTTACTCAGACTACAAGTGAACCTAGCTCCCCCTGACAACAGTGCCTCAACACAGTTGGTCAGTTCAGAGGCAGCCTCTCTTCCAAAGTAGGGGGAAAATATGAAAAAGAAAAAATGGTGATCAAAATAAAGTCAACTGCTAATGGAGGTAAGGCTGACTAAGGCTAAGAAACAAAAAGTTCTTTTAGCCAGAAAGCACTTTTAGCGACTTATATATGCACTGCATGAACAAATCCACCAGGTCTATAAAAAGAAAATCAAAATTCTTGGTTACCAAGTGCTGGAAATTATTGGAATAACTGGAAAAATGTGATGTCGACTATATACTAGATATATAATAGATTCATGTTAAATTACCAGAGTGTGATAATTGTATTGTAGTTATGTAGAAAAATATATTTGTTCTTTGGAGACACATGATGGAAGTATGATGCCTGCAACTGACTTTCATATGGTTCAGGAAACACACACACAGACACAAGGGGTTTAAAGGAGTACACCGTACTAATCCTGTAACTTTTCTGAAGGTTTGAAATTACAATAAAGATACGGGAAACTAGTGCTATGTTGGTCTGGCACTTACAGAATCAATCAGTTTGAAAAGGTCAGTTGTTCACTTTCATGTTACTCTATCCTTTGAAATTATATGGTAATGGCACTGGAGAAGTGAAGAAAGGGCCTTGGATTCATCCCTCAAATATCTGTGGTCCACTGAATAAACTATATAGCACCATTTACTATCAAAAAAGGTCTACTAAATCATGGAATTGCCAATCATAGCTTTTGAGGATTAATTCCTTCTGAATTGCACAATTCATTCTTAGTTATAGCATCACTGTTCATGCGAAACAACGAAACCTACAGGGTTTCAGAAATGCCACCAATTCTCATTGCAGTCTGAGTAAACCAAGAAATGTTCAACAAAGGAAGGCTCTAGAGAAGTGCGGGGTATGAGAAATGGAAAAGGGCAAAAAAGGAAGATGTGAATAGTTATGAAGAGAATCTTTTATGTTTAGAAACTGAAATTCCAAATTTAAAAAACTATTACTAAAAAGAAAGCTAACATGAGAACACTTACCTTGTCCATCTTCTTTGAACACCAGCTCCCTTTTTTCAGATTCATTCTCATTCTTACCTCTGCGTCGATTTTTACCTCCTTTACCTAATGGTTTTAAAGAAAGAAACAGACATTATTTGCAAAACATTAGGAAAAGAAACTAAATGAAATTATGGCTTAAAAAACATTTTTTAAAAAATCACTTAAATTTAAAAATTCAACTCATTTGGTCACAGGGCATACTAAATTTACAATGTCCAATCATATTAAACATATACATATCATACTCCCCACCCTTCTTGGAAATTCCTTTGGGGAAATTTTGAACATGAAACACAAACAAACCAAAAGGAGATATTATATAAAAGTATATAATTAAAAAAGTTCCTTTTCTGAATATATCTGCATTCAATAACCAAACTGCCCTGGATAATACAGATAATGACTATTTGGTTGAGTATGCTGTTCAGGGAACCACTCCTAAAGTGGCCCACATGTGCCATGATGGGAGATATAATGGGTCTGGATAAATTTTTATAAAAATTCCCTGTCTCGGGTGGTGATTATACAGCATCTTGCTACACTGATGGACAGTGACTGTAGTGGGATGTGTGGGGGGGACTTGGTGAAGAGGGGGAGCCTGGTAAACATAGTGTTCTTCATGTAATTGTAGATTAATGATTGCAAAAAAAAAAAAAAAATTCCCTGTCTCTCCTGTACCTGACCTCCCCCACAAAAGGTCTGAGTGCAAGTAGGAAATGAGGGGAGAAAAGGAGGGGAAGGTAAAACTATACCTACTGGAGTGGGACACACTGATTTTGTGGTGGTAGAGGGAAAGCAAGAACTCCAGCAACCCTAAGAGTCTGAATTTTATCTTACAGCTCTAGGATACATTCAGCAAGGTATCTGAAGTTACAAAGCAAGGTGCTAATTGCTTGAATTTGGAAGCAACGAAAATGTCCTCCAGCAGGTGAACGGATACACTGTGGTATGTCCATACAATGGAGTATTATTCAGCAATAAAAACAAATGAGCTATTAAGCTGCAAAGACATGGAGGAACCTTAAATGCATATTGTTAAGAGACTGCAAAAAGATGAGTAGTTGATTAAAGGTTGAGGAAAGGAGGAAGGACAGATGAACAGGTAGAACATGGGAACTTAGGGCAGTAAAACTATTTACCTGTATGATAACGTAATGAAAGATACACATCAGTACACATTTGTCAAAACCCATACATCAACATAAAGAATGAACCTTCATGTAAACTATGGACATGACTTAATGCATCTGTACTGGCTCATGCAAGATGTTAACAACAGAGGACAGGGGAGTATATGGGAACTCTACTTTCTGCTCACTTTTCTGTAAATGTAAAACTGCTCTAAAAGAAGTCCATTAGAAAAACAAAAGCAAGGTGCAACAGGGATACAATCAGCAAAATCCAGACCACCGGAGGCAATTTATTTTCCTCTCACCTGTCCCTTCTTTGCTACCAATTTTACATCTCAGTCCACTATCTCAACTGAGCACTGATCTTATATTTCTAATGGCTCAATACATTTCCAGTGAATGGGCTGTTACCTCAAGCTCAGTTTTATTCAAAACTCAATTTACTTTCTTTTCCAAAGCTGGTCCTTCCTTCATCAACACCCTTGTTTCTGTTAGTGGTAACATCGCTACCTTAAGGAATTTAAATCTCTCCATCTGCAAACATGACACCAATACCCCCCTCAGTATTTCTCTTCCCCTATGTCATGCTTCAAGTAGACTTCTCAATGTACCCCTCAAAAAACTATGCCCATGAGGTAGGTACTATTTTGTCTCTATTTCACATGAAATAATATTTTCCCAAAGGTTAAGTGACTTATGCGAGACTGTATTTGGTGAAGTGAGACCTGCGATTTGAGTCCCCAGTGATTATGCTCTTAACCACTCAGTGATGTCACCCATTTACATGTCAAAATCACCCTATAAAGTCATTTATTCTCTACCAACAGTTCACTGCAGCTCAGAGAAGTAATTCAATGTAACAGTCAACAGGGGTGACCAGATTCAAACCTAGTCATCGTTTTTATTCTCAGCCCCCATATTAGGGTATCTCTCCACAGAATTCTGTTCCCATTCCTGAACGTATACCACATTAGCAGCCAAGATATATAAAAGGTGGGAGACAGGCTATAAGTGGTAGTGATACTAAGGGACTCATGGGAAGAACCTTGAAGCATCTCAAGGTTCACAGCTCAAACAGAATAAACAATTTGCACCTGACCACTGCAAAGACAGATACTTAACTTCTTGAATCAGGTGCACTTAATCTGTCCTGGGGGCAGTCTCACATTGCTCAGTGCTACTGTTAGGTTGGTCTCTAAAATTTCCTGACCCACCCACAGTCCTTTGAATTCAGCTTTTAAGGCATTCTTAGGGCACATCAAAACTAATTTCCTAGGAAAAGTATCTCCTGCTTTAAGCCACTAATCAAATCAGATCTTCAAATTAGAGTGAAAGCTCGATTAGGGCAGGATCCTACCTGCTTTGTTTACTGAGTTATACATCCAAGTTGGGCAATTCTTTGAATGAGTAAGTCAAGAATAGTCCATCCGTTCCTAAAGCAGTGGTGATTTTCAAAGTGAAGGTAGTATAACTCCCTCAAAGTGAGGGAGCACTTTATGCCAAATGTTCTTCATGAGTGGACCAAAGGATACCCTCTTTCTTGAGGTAATAAGCTGATAGAATCTGGAGGATTCTAGAGGAAATAAGCTGATAAGAATCAGACTAAAGCAAAGTCCATCCAACACACAGTTTATAGCAATTTATATCCTTACTTGTGTTAACCACCACTAAAATTATATTCACAGGGCTTCTGGCTTTTCCAATGAAGAAAAACTCAAATAAAGGTGAATTTATTTCTACATTAGTAAACCTCATCTCATAAAACTCAGGGGTCTTAAAAAGTACTGCTCCTCTGGAGGACATTATGCTCAGTGAAACAAGCCAAGCGGAGAAAGACAAATGCCAAATGACTTCCCTCATTTGTGGAGTATGACAATGAGGTAAAACTGAAGGAACAAAATGGCAGCAGACTCAGAGACTCCAAGAATGAACTAGTGGTTACCAAAGGGGAGGGGTGTGGGAGGGAGAAGGGGACTGAGGGGTATTATGTTTAGTACACATGGTGTAGGGGATAACGGGGAGAACAGTATATCACAGAGAAGGGACATAGGGGATCTGTGGCATCTTGCTGCACCGATGGACAGTGACTGCACTGGGGTATGGGTGGGGACTTGATAATATGGGTAAATGTAGTAACCACATTGTTTTTTCATGTGAAACCTTCATAAGAGTGTATATCAATCATACCTTAATAAAAATTTTTTTTAAAAAGTACTGCTCCTCTAAGCAGGATAAAAAGATTGGCTTTACATGTATAGGAATGTAAAACACCAAATTCAGAATGGTGGTTACCTCCAGAGAGGGGAATGGGGATACAAAGGGCTTTAACTGATTTCACCATGTAACTCCCAGGTTCAGAGTAATGGATTCCCAGGTGCTCATTACTTTACCTATATTTTTTGTATGCCTCCAATGTTATTTATAAAAGAATGACTCAATGCTTGTCAATTTACCAGAACTAAACATATCCTGATCATCCCCCTCTCTACAGTATTGCGTGTAATGGAATGAACTTTAAAGGAGGCTAGTGAACTAGATGTGATTTAATGTAGAAGTCCTACCCCCCTGGGACCAAAGAGGAACCTATTATTCACTCAAGGGTGGAGACAAAAGAAGGGAGGTGACTTAATCCAACAAGTATTTATTGAGCATCTACCTAGTGTCAAGTGCTAGCAATCCAACGTGACTAAAACAAATACTATTACTGCTCTTTAGAGCTTAGTGTAGCAAGGGAATTGGAAATCTCATGACTTAGAAACAAAGGTGAGAATAAGACACCTATTGAAGCGACCCAGTTACCATCTAAGAGGAAATAAAGGATTATATGGATTACAAGAAAACTGACTCTTAAAACCATTCCCCCCTTTCCCAGAATGATTAGCAGCAAAACCTCTTCTACAAAAAGGATAGATTTCTGCGGTCAGTAAGATGGAATGCCCTGAGGGAACTGCACCCAACTACACGCAGGGATAAAATGAGTAGTGACAGCTACAAAGAGGAAATGAGGTAGAATCCCTGGAGCCAGGTGTTAAGTAGAAAAGAGAAAAGAAGTAGGCTGGGTCAGGGCAGGGGTCCCAAAAATGAAGAATCACAGTAAACTTCTTGTGGTTTGTTTTCCGTTTCTACTCGTACAATTTCCTTGGAGAAAGTATAAGAATACTTAAAAAGACAGAGGCACCCTTAAGCCTAAACAACGCCGCAGAATTTATTTAGGACTGTTTTGCTTCTACCTAGTAGTTTAGGACTTCCATTTTGTAAATTCCAAATAAATTTACCCTCAAGTTCGATAGTTTGTGAACATTTATCCTCAGAAAGCAGAAAACGTAAAGGTCTTTATTCCCACCACAATATATACACGATCTGAAGCAAAAGTAGTAAACTTGGCAAAACATGGAATCAGGTGTTCGGGTGGGGGAGGGGGAAGTACAACCCCGTAAAGGGATGAGACTGAGTAAATTCTTTATAGAGATAAACCTTAAAAATGCATACAGGTTTCGTCCACTGTATACATTGGAGAGGGAGCAGTCTCAATACAAATGTCCATAAAGAAACCCATGCAAGAGTACCTGATGGTCACTAAAGTTGGCATGACCCATTTAAAGTTAAGAACTGCTTCCTGCTTCCAGAGCTTAACTCCCCTTGTTCGAGAAAACCAAAGGCGCCCATTTGCGAAGCCCAGGACAACCGGAGAGAGGTCCCCTCCCCCCAGCAAGTTCCTACAGCGCCGCGGTCAGACTGGCGCGAATGAGGAGCAAAAGCCCACATTCTCCCGCAGGAGGCCCAACAAAAATGGCGTCGGCTCCACCCCAACGTGACCAAACTGCAAGACCGGAGTAACTTGCCAGCTACTCCTCCGGGCCCAGAGTCGCGTCCGGATCGCCCAGCCGCGTGCAACTTAGGACGAAGAGGAAAGTCTCTACGACCCGGGCGCTCCGGACCCGCGGGCAGGGCCGGGGAGACCGGGCCGAGCGGAGTTATGCTGCCGGGATCCAAGCAGCTTTACCTTTATTCTTGGGCATGGCAGCGACGGCGGCCTCGCGGCGTCTTCGACTCCTTCTTGGACGGCAGCGGGGGCGGCGAAGGACGAGGAGACTCCTCTGAGGGGCGAGAGGGGCGACGCGTGGGACCGCACGATATCAAAGTCTCGCGACCCAGTTCTCCCGAGGTGCCCCTGCATCCACGCTTGGCCGCAGCAAATGGCGTCGCGGCTGCTCGCGCCGCTTTTCCCCGCCTCCCGACGCGAGCTGGGCCCGTCTCCCAGGCTCTACGGCGCAGGCGTGGCCGACTGACCCCGTTGTTAGAGCGGAGGGGCAGCAGACACACGCGGAGGGCGGGGCCGCGAGCCGGGAGGAAGCGGAGTCGTGAAGGGGAGTGGCGGGGCCCAGGCGTCATGGTAAAGGGCGGATTCAGGAAGCGCGGCTGCGAGCCGATCTCCGCGGTGACTTCCCGCGTCTCTGGGTAGGAGCTGCTGGCTCAGTTCTAATCTCACAGCTCAGTTTGCACTTGGTCCTTTCGCCAGCTCAGCTAGGTTGGGAGTCCTTTCATCCCATTCGAAAGCATAATATTTGCATGACACTTACTACTTTATAAATATCTGTCTTCCCTACTGAAGGCAAAATCTGGCGCGCTAAGACCCCCACCCCTTAAGATTCAATCACCAACGCAGAACACACCCTACCCTTACTCCTTAAAAACGCACTTCCTCACCCACGAGCTGCTGCTCCCTCTCTCTCTGGGGGCAGCCATTTTCTCTTTCAGATAATAAAATCTCTTGCATGGTCCCGTGTCTCCTGAGTCGTTCTGGGGTAAGGAGGGTCGCAGCGACATAGCCTTTCACCTACCTCACTGTAAATCTTAATAGACAGAGACAGCCACATTTGTTGCTTCCTATTACCAGCACTTAGGAGAATGCCTGGCACAAACTAGGTGCTCAATACCCACAGGAAGGGAGAAGACATCATCAACTCAGTGTTAGGGGCTGAACTGTGCCCTCCCCAAATGCATATGTTGCATTCCTCACCCTGAATACCTCAGAATGCGACTATTTGGAAAGAGGGTTTCTAAAGAGGTAATTAAATTGAAATGAGGTCAGTAGGGTGGACCCTAAACCAATATGACGGGTATCCTTATAAGCAGAGATTAGGATACAGACACACAGAACACCAGGTGAACAAGGTAACTATCTCACCAAAGAGAGAAGCTACAGAAGAAACCAATCCTGCTGGCACCTTGATCTCAGACTTCTAGCCTCCAGAGTTGTGAGACAATACATTTTTGTTTAAGCCCCCCAGTTTGTGGAACTTTATGGCAGCCCCCAAAGCTAATACAGCTGACCATATAGGACAAATAGCTTCACTTTTGAGTAAACTTAAATAAATTACCTTTCTGCAAACATCAGGCGTTCAACAATTACCTCTTTAGGGAAATGGATGTACCTAATAGAGAAATAAAGTACAATCTTTGAGCACAGTGGTTTCCATCACAGACATTTGACAGTGTCTGTAGATATTTCTGCTTGTCACAGCTGGGGAAGGAGGGAGTGTTGCTGGCATAGAGTGGGCAAAGGCCAGACATGCTGCTGAACACGCTGCAGCACACAGCACATGCACCCCAACCCCACACAAAGCATTATTCAGCCCCAAACATGAATAGGGCCAAGGACACCGATGACAGATGCACTTCTTAGAGGGAAACTGAAAGGTGATGGGGACTTAAAGTTTGGGGTTTCTCTTTCCATTTGCAATAATTTGCATTTACACAATTAAGAATGGAAGGATGTTTAGGAAATTTATTTAAATTTTGCTTCAGTGCCAAATGATCATGAAATTTGGGCTTTGGGGTAAAAGAGACCTGGGTTCAAATTCAGCTTTGCCATATTGGGTTGTTACAGGAATTAAACCGATATAATGAGAGATCTAAGCTGGCCTGTGCATACAGTAAAACAACAAATTTGACTGGATCTATACTGTCGGAACTCAGCCAAGAATTAGGAGAAGTGCAAGTTGCAGTGCTCCAAAATCATGCGACTATAGACTATCTACTGTTAAAAGAACATATGGGATGTGAACAGTTCCCAAGGAATGTGTTGTTATAATTTGTCTGATTTTTCTCAAACTATTCAAATTCAGTTAGACAATATCCATCATATTATTGATAAGTTTTCACAAATGCCTAGGGTACCTAACTGGTTTTCTTGGTTTCACTGGATATGGCTGGTAATTGTAGGTCTGCTTTTGTTATGTAGCTGTATTCCTGTTCTGTTAATGTGTGTATGCAATTTAATTAGTAGTTTGTTAAAACCTATACATGCTTATGTTACTCTACAAGAAGATATGTCAAAGAAATAATCAATCTTCCCATATTTTCTTCCATCTGCTACTTCTATAGGTTTTCTTCTTCCTTCCTAATTACAACCCTTTAGTAGAATTCGTGCCTCATATCGAAAATTACCGAGTATCATAATTCTTCCAAGTGGTAAAGATACCTCAAGACAAATGCTGGGCATAGAAGCCACAGGACATAAATATGCAAAGAAGTAAAAAGCTAACCTTTACAAAGAATATTGCTTCTCTCTCACTTACCAACTTTACATTTCCCTGTATGGCCCTGGAAGATGGCTGGTTAGCCAGAGACGGGTAAGATTCCTCAAGGGAGGAACAACCTAAGACAGGCACAGTCCCAGGGGGGCCATCAGGTGAGAAATTGGGGATCAACAGAGGTGAGGCTTAGAACCTCACCCCCCCTGTTTTGAGAGAAATCTTCTGCATCCATGGATGTTTTGTTGCCCTTGTCTAGCTTGGATTAATACTTAGTCTACAGGCACACACCTGATCATCTACATTTGCTCTCTTACAGCACCAAATTATGCTTTCTACCTTTATCTTGCATCTACGTACCACTTCAGCATTTTATTTAAAAAAATAATAATAATAATAAGGGAGAAATGTGGGATTCACATATAAATCAAGTATAAAAATCAAACGAATAATCATATCTGACTTGATTGTTTATAGTTCGTGATGCGTGATCAAAACTGAAAGTTTCTGTGATATGACTGCCCTTGCATGGTTCACCATGTAAGAACTTACTATGTAAGAACTTGTTCGCCATGTAAGAACTTGTTCGTTATGCTTCAGAAGATTGGAGACTGTTGAGAATTAGGCTTGGGGTTGATTAATGATTGTGCATTGAGTCCCCTATACAGAATTTTATTGTTGTTAACAACCATTTGATCAATAAATATGAGAGATGCCCTCTCAAAAAAAAAAAACTGATATAATGCATTCAGTATTTGGCAACTGTGCCTAGAACATAGTCATTAATCAGTTACATTCCAAGTGTCTGGAAGTTCAAGTATTTAAAAATCAAAAATCTCTATCAATTACCAATATAAAACCCAAAGGAGAAAAAACCCCACCAGGCTTCATTTCGCTAATGTAAGATGGTTCCTGCATCTGACTGGTCATAAGTCACTTGCAAGGAGGTGATTCATGGAAACATCTGGGGGAAATGAGTACTAGGCAGAGAAAACAGCAAGACAAAGCCCCTGAGTGGGAACATGCTTGGCATATTCAAGAAACAGCAAGAAGGCCAGCATGGCTAGAATGCAGTGAGCCAGGGGGAGTTTGGGGAGATGAGATCAGAGACATAGGGAGACCAACTCACAGCTTATAATTCTTAGTAGGTTTTGGACAGATCATTTTGGCTTCTGTGTTAAGAATAGACAGTAGGAGGTTAGGGAGGAAACAGATACTGTGTGGGACACCACTGCAATAGTCCAAGCAAAAGACAATGGTGGCTTGGACTAGGGTATGAGGTCTCTGTGGGATGATGGTAATGTTCTAAAATTAGATTGTGATAATGGTTGCACAACTCTGTAAATATACAGAACACTGAACTGAATGAAACCTTTAAATGGGAGAACTTTATTGTATGTAAATTATATGTCAATAAAGCTGTCACACACAACAAAGGAAAAAATGGGAAAATGGATCTGACCAAGGAAAAGTAAAAGAATTGACAGTACTGAGAGCTTAGCTGAGACAGGATATCATAAGCTTGCAGTGGTATCACCACATTTGCATAATTGTATGGCTTCTTCCAACAAATGGGTTACTGCTCAGTGGGTACAATATAAAGGCAAAGATGTAAGGAAGTTCAGGGTGCTTTTGCCATAGAAGTTTGAGTGATCAACTATAGGACCAAGAAGTTCAGTCTGGTAGCAAAGGAAATAAAGAATGAGGACTCGAGGTGGGGGATATGTGGGAGACAGTGGATCAAAGGAATAAAATTCAAATTTCTTAATGTGACTTATTATGTCTGATGGTCTGGCCTATCTCTTGAACCTATGTTTTGCTTCTTTCTTATATTTTAGGTCAAATTCATAGATCACTGTTGTTTTCTTGAGTGCCTCTAACTCTGTCTCTCTGTGCATCCTATTCTGCCCTTCCTTTCCCTCTTAGATCTCAGCATAGTCATTGTTTCCTTAGAAGGTCTGCTCTGATTCGTGGGCAATGCTGCTATATGTTCCTACAGCACCCTGCATTTCCTTTACCTAGCTTTGCTAGTGTGTGTCAATCCTATCAATTTAGGGTGCACTAACAAAACTTAGTATCTGGATTTACAAAACCAGAAGAGTGACCACAACAAATAATTCTACTCCAGTTTGGTCTGAGGCTGGCTACTGGCCCCCAAAGATATCCATGTACTAACCCCTGGAACCTATAAACAGTTATCCCACATGGCAAAGGGAATTAATGTTGCAGATAGATGCAATTAATGGTGCTCATCAGTTGACCTTGAGATGGGGCGATTACCCTGGATTACCTGCGTAGGCCAATCACAGGAGTCCTTAAAAGTGGAAGAGGCATAAGACGGGTTAGAGATGCGTGTGAAGAGGCTCCACCCAGCATTGCTGGTTTTGAAGATGGAGGAAGGGGCCCACGAGGCAAGGAATGCAGATGGCCTTTAGATACGGGAAAAGGCAAGGAAACAATTCCCCGCTAGAGTCTCCAGAAAAAAATACAGTCCCGCTGACACATTGGTGTTAGCTCGTGAGACCCATATTGGACTTCTGATCTCCAGAACTGTAATATAATATATGTGCATTGTTTTAAGCCACCAAGGCTGTGGTAATCTGTTATAGCTGCAGTAGAAAAAAATACAGTAACATTATTATGTTGCCTCCATGACACCAAGTAGACCTTGAAGCTCTACA